ATAGACTTTTCGCGACCAATTTTTTGGACAAAATTGGAAAGATAAAGAGGGATTAATAAATTTGCCCAAATCGGCCGGACAAAACTATACCGCCAGCTCGACTTTAAGCAGCGGGACCCACGCGCAACACACCATACACATCAGCCGAAACTCAATCCGTATAATGCCTGGTAAACAGGTGATAAGGTTGGTTAACCAACCTTATCCAATCCTATCCACTCAATTAATTGGCTGCAGTTCTGGTTGGACCTACTATGCAAATTGCAGCAACTTCCAAACAAATAGACAATGGAGTTGCCGAGTTGGTATCAACTATTATAATTTCTTCACACAATTTATTATAAAATGCTACATTAATTATATTAATGCTAAGGAGTCAATTGTAGCTGAGGAGCCAACAACCAATAGGATAGCTCTATGTGGGACTGTCCCACATTAAAACCATGTGAGACGGCCCCACATCTTCTTAGCATTATTGTAAAATGCTAACCCAAAATATTAAGTAAAAAAAAAAAGTGAGGTGGAGTGCGATTAAGTGTCCGCCAGCAAACGGTGACATCATGCCCAAAATTGACCTGTTTAAGTTCACAGGAATATTTCACTGTTAAAAAAAAAAGGAAAAAAAAAAGGTGTTCTTGATTTCGATGGACACAGCTCTCTGCGACGAGCTTCTCCAAGATATCTTCCTCCGCCTTCCTCCGCCGTCCCTCGCGGTGGTGCCCCTAGTCTCCAAGCGATGGCGCCGCCTCCTTCGCTCCTCCACCACCTCCCTTTCTCTCCAAGTCCGGCCTCTCCACACCGCCGCCACCATCACATCTTTCGCCGCCTTCCTCACCCAGCACCCCTACCTCTCTTCTCTCACCATCTCCGGCGGCGACGCCGCCGATGACCTCCTCTTCCTCGCCGTCGCTTCCTCTTGCCCCAACCTCCGCCACGTCCGCTGCTCGAGCTCCCCCGCGTCCAATTTCTCCCTATACACTCTCTCGATTTCTTGTATTCACCTCTCTTCCATGGCGATTGCTCTTTCCAGACCACTGTCTTTCAATTGGCTTCCCCTTTTCAAATCCTTAAAATCGCTCTCGTTGGATTTCACAAACCCTTTGTCCGAAACCCTCATCACCCAACAACCACAAAACGCGGCGTTTGATGTGGGGTTGAACTTGAACCTGAATCTTGAAAGCCTCTCCCTGTGTGGAATCTCGCCGGGGGATTACGGGCTGGGCTTTCTCTGGAAAAATTGTAAGAATCTCAACAAATTGAAGCTCAAGAGCTGTGAGAGTGTTGGGGATTACCCCTCATTTTCTGAGTTTTTAGCCTCACTGAGCTCCCTTCAAGAACTGGAGTTAAGAACTTGCCGGAGCATAGTCGATTTCGTGCTGTTAACCCTTGTGGGAGCCAAAAATTCCCTCGATTCTTTACTAATCTACGATGGGGCCAGCAAGGAAAGCCTGCTTCAGTTCATTAATCAGAGCAGTTGCAGGTTGAAAGAGCTAGACTTGAGATTACCGCTCGATTTAGACAACTCCCATTTAACATCCATAACCGAAAATCCGAGTTTTAGGGGTTTGGTGAGTTTAAGGTTGCAAAGCTGCTGTCTTTTTACCGGTGATGGGCTTAAATCTCTCGGAAGGGCATTCTCTGGTAGTCTTACGGAGCTTGCTTTAGTTAACTGTGATGTTGTCAATAGGGAGCCCGGTTTTTTAACGGATTTGGGACAGAGTTTGAGAAGCTTAAGGAAATTGGACTTGTCCTATAACGATATGTTGATCGATAATGAGCTTTTGGGCATGCTCGCCTCGTGTAGCTTCTTGATTGAGCTGAGATTGAGGTGTTGTGGCCTGTTGACAGGTGGCATTGTGGGCTCGATTATTAAGTGCTGTAAGAAGTTGGAGTCTGTTGATGTAACTTGTTGCAGCCGGATTAAAACGGAGGGAGTTGATATACTCGTGCTTAATCTTCCGGTTTTGAGAAGGGTTGAGGTTGAGGAAAGTCAAGTATCGGTTTTCGCTAGGAATTTGTGTTCGAATAAGTTTATCGAAATCGTAACTTGAATACTTGATCAGTAATTTGGGTCGGGCGAACAAAACATGATATTGTGAAGAGGAGCATAGAGAATCAACGAGCATCTGTTGACTTGAAGCTGTTTGTTGCTGGATGTGTTTACTGTTTACTACTGTGAATATTTTTTACTCAAAGTGTATAAAATGGTTATGAAAATTGAAAAAAGAGCTGTTTTATTCATTAAAAGTGGTGGATAAAGCAATGGTGTGTACTGTGTAGTGTGCTTTGGATTCAAGAAGTTGTTATGAAATATAATCTGTTTGTTTTCTATGTGATCATTTCTGTGCATTGATGCTATAGTGTTGTTTTTTCTTGTGTTTTTCCTTTGAAATTGTAGAAGTAATAGTTATATATCTCATATATGTTCTTGGTGCTTTTATAATGCAAAGCACCAAGAATTATTAAAAGAATATATATATATAGTTAATTAAAAATATATATATATAGTTAATTATTATTTTTAACATTAAAATAATCAAGAATTTATCGGGCCAGCACCGGTAGACCCATGAGCCAGAGAAATTACA